TTTTTTTAATTGAAGGAAAAGGCACAAGGGCAGTATGGTGGCACAGTGGTTAGTGTTTTTGCCTGGGTTCAGTTTCTCCAAGCAGATAGAGTACTATCTGCTTGGAGTTGCATGATCTCCCCATATTCATGTGGGTTTCCTCAGGGTGCTCAGTCCAAACACATATTGATAGGTTAATTGTCCTCTGTAAAAATTTGCCCTTGTATGGGTGTGTGTGCCTTTGGGTCTGTGTATGTATTGTAAAGTACTGGTGTCCCATCCAGAGGGTATCCTGCCTTGTAGCTGTTGCTTACTGTATTAGGCTCCCGCATCTCCCTCGACCCTAAACTGGATAAAGCGGTTTAGAAAATTGATGCATTGAATTGAATTGAAAGACACACCATTATTGAGGTGGCTTTTCCATGTTCATGTAGATCCGCGGAGATGCTCCACAGTACTCAATCTGATCTCTGTTCCAGGAGCTGGGGTCCCCTAGCAGAACAGTGGAATACTCTGCCGAGGCATCTGGCCCAGTACCCTCCAGTTCCAGACTGCGATCTCTGGACACTTTTCGAGGGTATGACATTCATATTTCTCGCCCCAGAGCTGTGGGTTCTCCACAACAACACAGTTATGAAGCAGTGGGTCCATTGTCTTTGCTGTCTGATACCCCAGAAGACCCAGCCCAAACTGGGCAAGCCTAGCAGTGTCAGTCCTGTAGGTTGGAGTGTGGCAAAGTACAAAGTTCACTGAGTGTTTACCTGCTTCCTTAGATGTTTCTTTCTTTTTCATTGTCAATATGGCGTTTTTGTACATTTTTTAAAAACAATATGTAGTCTCCTGTGACGCCAAGGTGCAGTGCTTTTATATAATGATACAGTTGTTCTGCTCTTCAGGTGCAATGGCAAAGTCATTGCTAATTTTGCTGCTAGTACTGCAGCTTACTCCAAAATGCAGTTTTATTGTACTGCAGGTACAGTAGGTGTTTTATAACGTGGGTTACAGCCGCTGAACGATTGGTCCTGTAGGTTGTCCCTTGTGATCATGATCTTCGTGAACTACGGAGGAGGAAGATACTGGTTCTTCAGGCACGAAAGCTGGAATGGTAAGTATGCCATCTGCTGACACCTCATCCAGTATGGTTTGGATGTTAATGTTTCATGGGAGTGCCTTTTAAAATGGAAATCCTCTGTTGGTGTAATTTAATTATTTACAGAAGAATACATTTATTCTACACCAAAAACAATATGGTTTAATCGTGGGCTGTTGGAATTTAGGTTATGCCATGGTATCTGGTATATCTCTGTGTTCTCCCATTCAGTATTGACAGTATTGACAGTATTGTGTGCGCCACTTTTCAACATAGATTTTCTCCAACTGAAGTATACTCTGCCTTAGAACCGGGCGATAATTCGATAACGATAATGATCGCGATATAATTTTCCTCTATGTAATTTTAACAAAAGTTCGATAAATGTTCGATGTATATGTTTATGCTTTGCGCATTATATGCGCATGCGCACTAAATGCTGCGCGAGTGCGCGTGTGTGTTGCAGACTGGGCAGCTAACAGATTTGTTTAATGTTTTTGCTGTTTGGCAAGTGTTTGTTGTGTTCTTAAAATAAAGAGTTGTTTAATTTACTAATTAACTGTCTGGTTTCTTTAACTTTCACTCAGGAGAAAAAATCTGCCTTTAAACTTGAAAGAAATAATGATTTGACATTTATCGTGATAATTATCGATATCGATGGATATGAAAATTTTTATTGTGAAAATGTTTTTGGCCATATCACCCAGCCCTACTCTGCCTTCAAAGCTGCCACATCACAAAATGATTCCATAGTGCTTTTTGGTTTGAAGGCACTTTCTCTGATTTACCCATTTTGTTTAAAAGTGTTATGTTGAAATGCTTTGTCTTAACCACACTTTCTTGCTTCTCTAGGACTAACAGTAGCAGACTTGGTCTTTCCCTGGTAAGATGAGAATATCTTGGTCTCTGATAATTATCTGCCTTGTCAATGCAAATTAAGTGAAACTCTTAGTGATAAATTCTAGTTGGGTAATTGGGTGAGATGAATAATAAGTAAAGGCTATATATTAATCAAGGAAATATGTTGTTTAAAAAAAGAACACTATGGTAAACTCCATATGGAGGTAAATATTATTTTCAGTTTGGTACAAGAGATTGATTTTTTTGGTATTTCATGGTTTAAATAAGTGCAAATTATGAAACGTGTTTCCTTAGTAGGGTATGCTGGTGCATATTCTCAGAGTGATACTGTGATTCACGGTCTCTTTTCCCAGGTTCGTGTTCATCATGGGCACATCAATCACCCTGTCCCTGAGCTCTGCCCTGCGTCGCGGCTCTGGTCAGTTCCAGCTCTTCCAGAAGGTGCTGTGGAGGACGGTGCAGCTCTTCCTTATTGGACTCCTTATCATTAACCCTAATTATTGCCAGGGCCCTTGTGAGTACACCATACTGTCCTCCTCACAAGCTCTTTTTAGACTCCACCCTGACTTATAAAATCCTTAAAGAATAATGAGGTCTAGAGGTGCAGGAAAAAAAGAGATGTAAAGCACTTTTTATTCATAAGAGTACATAAAAACAAGAAAAAAACTTAGGAAATGCATAATAAATCAGTGACTCCTCTCCTTAACCCAACATACTGTATATAGAGCCTAACTATAACAATTGTTTCCAATCACACCTTTTCTGAGGTAAAAATTCCTCACTTTGATCAGATATCTTTTCAATGCTCTTGCAGAAATACCTAGAGATTTTTTTTGGTCTCCTGAGGGAACAGTGTAGATTCACACCAAAAAAAAACATTAGAAATGCAGCAACTGCTATTGGTTTTCCTTTGTGAGCACGAAATATTCATACTCTGCTCTCCAAAAGCGTGGAAATTACATGACTGAAAAGTACAACTTGTGAGTGTTTTATGTAAAAAAGTCAATTCTGTTCTACCCTCTGGGGTCGATTAAACAAATTTATAGTTTTGAACCTCTTTATTTTGAAAGAATTGTGAATTATACTGGGACGGGAGTTTTTTAACTTTTCTATTTGCTTTAACAAATCACTATAGGTGCAGGAGGATAAGCTCTAAACACATTAAAGAACTATAGAAACAGTTCTGTGCTCCAGGGGGTTCTTATTTGTGAAGGTCCAGCACTCTTTCTCTGGTCTACTCTGTAGGCAGAGCCCCAAGTTTACAGAGGAAACGCTCAGTTTCGCCACCAGTTTGGTTTCACCCCTCAGCCTCATTGCCTCCAGTGTGCAGTTTATCATTGATGAATCTTACCTGATATTTCCTTAAATGCCAGAAGAACTTTCTACACTACTGTATTTCCAAGTTGAGAACTTTCCCTTTCAATGTGTTCTTTTCTGTGGTAACAGAATCTACTTTGTTTTGTAAGTGTTGCACTATACTGTACCTTTAAGTTCAGGTATTTGTTTTGTCATGTAATCCAGGAGTGCGTGGGTGAAGTCCAGTTCTGTCTGAGATCTTGTAACTCTGTCCGTAGCCGATGCAAGATTTCCATATGATTTCCTAATGTTTAGAGTTGGAGTGAGCATATTGACTTTTCTGGGATTTCATTGCTAAGAGCATACCACTGTTTTTTTTGAGTGAACCGTTTAGGCAATTTATGTACACCTCTCACTCTCCGTGCATGCTATATTTAGCTCTAAGCCTATTGCTGTGCTCCTCCTTTCAGTTTCCATAGACTCTCTCCGAATACCAGGAGTCCTGCAGCGACTGGCTTTCACCTACTTGATAGTGGCTGTTCTGGAAATAATGTTTGCCAAGCCCAAAGTAGAGAACATCCCTACGGCAAGTGACTAGTCTTTTTCATCAATATAATATACAGTGTTGTATGGAACATTGCACATGTGACTTTTACACTCTTAAACATTGCTAAGGATGTCTGAAAATTACAGAAGTTATTTACTTTTCAGTTTATACATTTATAACGTATAGAAAGCACATATTCAGCTGTGCACTGAATCAAAAGATCTTGTAGCCAGAGGATCAGAGCTGCTGGTGGGAAAATGATAATCTTTTTTGTTTCAGAAGATGTTGTGCTTGTAATATTTCTATATTGTTATCCATTTCGCTGTCACATAGTTTGAACCTCTGCAAAATATGAATGTATATTTCTCTGCATTTTGTACAGCTGGATTTGAGTCTCACTGTTTATCTAAATTACTTTTAACTGGCTAATGCTCCTTTTCTCACAGTCTCCATTCCACTTCTGGGTGATTCTTCATGCCACTGCATTTTGGGATTGAGCTTTGTAACAGTGAGCCGCGGTGCAAGTTTCGTTTTGTCAGTAATCTACAGCAGATTCATTTGAATGTGTTTTCTCTCGTTCTCAGGATGTCTGGTGGTTCCCTGTCCAAGAGCTGGTGCTTTATTGGCCAGCCTGGCTATGCGTCATTGTCCTGGAGGCGGTCTGGCTCTGTCTCACTTTCCTGCTCCCAGTCCCAAACTGCCCACTGTGAGTACCACTGGCACAGATACCCCTGTACAATGACAGGTTAACCTAAACGGATAGTGAGAGTTCTTGCCATCTCTGATGTCTTGCCACACTAAATAATAATAAAAATGATAAAGAGGAACTGCAGTCCCAATTTCTTACTTCGAATTAAGCACAAAATCGTGAACTTTGTGTACCGTAAAGTCTCCCATGTTGTCGCAAACTCGCATGTGAGTTCCCACAAGTTGCGATGTGATGTGGCCCTTTCTGCTCACTAGTCACTGTAATGACTAATGTAACGCGATGTTCAAGCAAATAAGTGTTCCAACAGATATGTTCCAACGTGATCTGCATGCAGTGTCAACAAGTAGTATTTGATGGATGTATTCACAATTGTTTACAATGTAATAAGGCTGCATTACATCCCCAGACGTTTTGTTGACTTGTTCTAAATCCCACAATATGGCGCCGTGCGTACCTGGAAATTAAGCTATTTTGTGCCGTGAATCGGGGGTTTACAAGGTAGTGTGTACATTTTACTTTGATTGTGGTTTGTAATGCATTTTTCAATGCTGATTCTTTCTGACCCAGATATATAAAAAGTGTTGCAGTTCCCCTATAAAGAAATAAAGAAAAATTAGTTTATATACTGTATGTTTGTGTGATCTGCTGTATATATCCAGCTGTTCCTAGAGCAATTCTAAAAACAACTAAAAGGAGTATCTCTGCAGCATTCGACTTTAAATAAAGGAGGAACGTGGGAAATCCAATTCTTTTCAAGTGGCCAATTTGTGTTACTGTCTCCCTCATTTCAGAGTCTTCTGCCAGAGAGAGAAATTCTTAATTTGCCCGTGTTACTGCTGCTGTGCTTATGTTACCCTCCATTGTGCATCAGATCACATCTTTAGCTATTTCTCCATTATTTGTGTATCTACGTATTACAAGTTATGTGCAATCCAAGTGATGGTGATGAGCTATTATTTTTAGATATAGCTTTAGAACATAGATATTTTAGATATCATGCTAATGATTAATTGTGCAACTCAAGGCTTAACATATATAAAAAATTCTGCTAGCATGTGGCATCATTTGTAAGCTGATGAAACATTTTGTCTGTAGGATATGACTTTGAAGCACCTGTGTGTTCTTCCTCCACCTTGAGTAAAAAATATTTTTTCTCCTCTTGCATTTTATTTATAGTGGCTACCTGGGACCAGGAGGAATAGGAGACTTTGGTCAGTATCCAAATTGCACAGGAGGGGCAGCAGGATACATCGATCACTTGCTCTTAGGCGAAAATCACATTTATCAGAATCCGTCTTCTCATGTAAGTAAATGAAGAGGGCTGTCTGTGACCTGAAATTTTCTTTCTGCCTAGGAAGATTGAGAGATGTATACATTTGTCAACTGAGCACATAACCCTGAACGCAGCCTTGATTTCCTAGAAATGGGTCTACTCAGTCTTTAATTAGTATGCTTGTTTAGACTTTGTGGTACCAAGCGTAAGTACTGTAACTTATGCTTTTATTACACCGTATAACATGTTCCAATAATTAAGACTAAGTGTGATCATCTCTGATAGATAAACTTAAGTCTTCTGAATCAGAAGTGTTTCAAAGTGAGGTCCTCACTGGCATCATTGACTTAATTGTTGTTGTTTGCTTTGCCCTTATAAAAATACAGTAGTGATAACATTTTTCTGTATATTTAGCTCTAACAGTATTTATATGTAAACACATTTGTGCACTCCTGTATGCTTGTCCAGGTCCTCTACCAGTCCAGAGTGCCATATGATCCAGAGGGGATACTGGGGACCATTAGTTCAGTTGTGATGGCCTTTTTAGGACTGCAGGTCAGTATTTTGTGACTCCTGTAAAGAGTTTGTATTATTTTTTCGTGTTTGCTGTCTCATCTCCTTTTGTTTCTCTATCCGAGTTGTATTTGTCTAGCACCAAAGCTTAAGTTTTGTTATCATGCAAGGGAGTTTTTCAGTGAGTGTAATATATTTATGGTATTTTCAAATTGAATTTGTACACAGTCAAAGCCCATCATCAGTCACCTGACAGGTTCCTTGGTGGTATTGGCTATTTGCTTTGGGCCATTGTCATGCTACGTATTGAAAAACCAGACACTCCCTTAACTTTTGTCTTCCTGTCTTGAAGTTTTTTGTAAATATTTAAGTAAAAGTAAAATTCTAGTTGGGTATTTAAGTAAATATTTAAGTTAAAAAAAATGGACAAGGATTACATTTTCAACACTATTGAAACATAAGGAGAGGATCTGAGATACCCTACATGGCGCACTGATTTATTCGGGGTCAGCTCATATCAGACATTTAATAAGCCGATTTTTCAAATAGGAAGACTCAGAAAGGAGTCTTTCAGTTTCAACACTAAAACGTCTGTAACATACAGGACCCTGCGTGCTTGGCAAGATACTAGGAGGTTCTGTGGAGTCCCCATCTCAGGTGTTTATTCTGTCCTTTCTAATCTTTAAACCAGATCTTCCTTCTCCTGTTCCAAATATTGATGGACCAAGAAGAGTTCGCAATTGTCTATTTATTGAAAACTAAAATTTCAAACTAAATCCCTGTCTGAACATACAGTGGAACTAACTTTGGCCTGATTGATTTTTTTCCCCCTCTACTACAATGTGGCAATTCGCTATTTCTATTAATGGTTTGCTGTAAAAAGTCTCTGAATCTTTTTGTATCCTAGTCCAGTCATGCGTCCTCCTTATCTGAGCCTTGAAAGGTATTTGACAGAATAATTAGACACTGAACTTTGTTATAGAACTGAGGTTTTGATCACCATTTACCTCACACAAGATAACATGACTGTTATGTTCATACACATACAACCTACCTAATTGTAGTATGTCTCCATAGAGTATTCATATTTATGTGTATACGTTGAATAAAGAAATACAATATCTCTGATCTTATGTAGGCTTAATAAAAATAAAGAGCTCTCTTCATATTTTAGTCACACAGCATAAAATGCATTCCAGCTTCTTATGAAAGATTCTGAGCCTGATCGATAAATTCTCTGCTTATAACAAAAACTCTTTGTTCTCACCAAGAAAGGATTGTGCTATGTTCAGGAATTCTACAACTTTCCACTCATTGCCTAATTAACTGAAGTCCTTTTCTCTTTTTTTAAGTATTTCTTAATGTGAATGAAGTTCTGGATTGGAGGTAACATGACAGAAGACCTTGTTGGATATATTACTCAAACATTTCATTTCTACAGGCTGGAAAGATTCTTCTGCATTACAAGGACCTCCACATGACAGTCATGGCCAGATTTCTTATGTGGAGCTTTGTGCTGGTGAGTAGTAGCGCCATGTTGAAAATGGAAAATATTTTTTGACATCACTTCCTGCTGAACTGTAGGGTAGAGAGGTTTGCTTCTCTGCCAAACAAGCCTGAACTGTTGCAGTATGCAGTGTTGTGAAATAGCTGTGGAAACAAGTTGTGCATTACAAAAGAATCAATTTTATGTAAGAATTGTTACCTAATACAATGTAATATTGATATTCTACATTGTCACTGGCAGTACATACTCAGTAGAACTTTAAATATATGTTGAACAATTAGGTGGGACTTTCACCTAGCACAGTACTGGTGTGTAAGATCAGTGTTTGTGAAACTGGTATTGTTAACAAAGTAATCCAGGAAGTAAACACCAGCTTCTCTGGAAGAAATATACAGTTCCTCAATGGATATTTCCCACATGACTGGTAATGATCCATTAGAGATATTGCGAATCAGTCTGATGCAAGTACAAGTGTAAAAGTTTTAACTGTTCATAAAGAAACAAGGAGCATCTCAGGCACATCCACGAGAACAGGAGCCAAAATCATTTTGAGGTCTCTGAGAATTCTGTTTTACTGCTTAATAACCCTTCTTTTAATCCTTTTCTTTTACTGTTTTTGATTAATTTTTATGTGAAGACAATCTCATGCTTACCACTAGGGCTGTGAAGTTGCGAATTTAGTCTCTTTATTTTGTTTTTAAAAACCTTCCTAAATTTAGCCATAAAAGCACTCAAATTTAGTTAGGAGTACAAATCCTAATTCACTTTTTTTACATTACAGGGGATCGTTTCAGCCATCTTGACCAAGTGTTCAAAAGACCACGGGTACATTCCTGTGAACAAGAATTTATGGTACTGTCCAGGCTTACAATACCGAACTTTCCTTAAAATTTCCTTAAAATAAGAATATATGCATGATTGTATTCCTACAGCTTTTAGTATGATAACTCACCTTTTAGGTGGGCCTTTATCATATGGTTTCTGTGAATATACGTGTATAATGTCATATAATATTAAACATATCATCTTTAACTTCTTTATTCCCTAAGACAGTATCCTAATTTATATGTGGGAAGTTGAACTCTTCTATTCATACCACATTACCTTTGATATATACCTTCCTGACATCAATACACAGTAAACGGTTTGCACCTGCATATGGATTAGATTAACAGGAAATGTATGATGTAGATAACCTGTTAGAATTTTTTTTTGGAGGTTGCTTCAGTTTACTATCTTGCATGCTATTTTGTTTTCTTAGTGTTGTGCTATGCTTTCTTTACTCCACCAGTTGTGATTTGTTGTGAGCTTCTTGTCTCTCATTGCCTTAGTTTGAATACTGCTTAAACATATGACTTCCCAGGATATCTGTGCCTCACTGACCCAAATGCAATCTGTCCTGCTTTTACAGGCACCACTTTTCCTGAAGGACACCCAATGACAAAGCCATATCATATAAAGAAACAGCCTTACACAGACTTCCTGAATCAGTTTTGGATAACTGTCAAGTACAGTTTTTTGCAAACCCTAACCTAATTTGCATCAGATTGCCCTTTGTTTTTTCCTGGGATGGGTATAGATTGATATGGACCTTAACTCAATTTTTTTTTATTTCCAGAGATCTCAGCACATGACAGTCACACTTACTCAGCCCTTCTGACTGTCTTTTTATTTGTCCATTATAGTGTGAACACTTACCCTTTGTTTGCCCTCTCCATTATACACTGTCTTCTCTTTATTGGCTGTGTTGCAGGTCTTTTTCATATGTCACAACACTCAGTTGCTTTGCCTTTGTTGTTCTGCTCATTATCTACTACATGGTAGATGTGAGAAGGTGGTGGTCTGGAGCTCCCTTCTTTTACCCTGGTAAGTAGTGAGCCATGGAAGTATACCTTCAATAATATGACTTTATTTAAATAAATACTGCAGTATTTGTGATTGTCCCAAGCATCTACATTCTAGATGTTTACGTAAAAAGTGAATTGTACAGAACAGAATAAATTAAAGGCCTTCTCCACCAAGAATGTTTAGATATTATTCTTTACACATTTCCTAATTCAGCATTTTACCCTTTTCACACAGTGGAGCAAACCTTTTGATTAAATGGAAATAGTAGTGTATAGTGTTGTCAGCCGAATTTCTTCACAAAACTGTTGTATCTAAGAAAGAAATGTAAGATTTTTTCTTTTCTTGGAAAGCACAATTCGACAATTAAAAGAATTGGTAATTACATTAATAACACCATTTCCACCCATCATGCATCTTGTTTGTTTGAATTATCTGTCTGGGTCAGGACAAAACACAGCAAAGTTCCCCAGACCTTTCGGCTCAGCTCGCTTATTTAGTTGCTCAAATCTATTTGATCCAAAGATCTCACGCAGCCATAAATTAGAAGGTGATGGGGTATCGGCTTCCACAACATGGCTAAGTAACTTGTTCGACACTCTCATGGCCCTTTGAGTAAAAAGGCAGCTCTGTTTACGGTTCTAAGTGCACTTCTTTTAAGTGACCTGAATCTGCCAGTAACAAGTGTGCTTAGCAAGTGGTTCTACTGCTAGTAATGTCATAACAGTATGGTCTGGGCTAGCAGCAGGAAATGCATATTTGTTGACATGTATAAGCAAGTGTATTCACATAATAGGCCTGAATTTAAAATAACCTTCTTGTGTTAAGCATACCCAGCATAAAATGAATTGGTCGTTTGGTGTTGAGTCTATGTTTTACACCAAAGGTGTCAAGGAGAAAGTAAGCCTTTTGTGTAATACCTTTAAAGTGCTGTCAACTTAAATTAACCTTATTTTGTTCCCAAAAGCATTTTAAATATGTTCAGAGTTATGTCCTCATTTCTGTCTCTAACATGTTTCTGTCTTTGTTGCTGAACATGTTAGTACGCTTGCTTAGTTCTCGTGAAAGGCTGTTATTATAACACTGTGTTCATTTCTGATGACATGAAGTTGCCGTTTTTATCTTGGTGATGCATATTACCACTGTGGATAATCTATTTTTTTCCACACGTCAGATTTTGTCTGACTGGGGTGGAGTGCAGAAAGGACCACTGTGTTGCATTTGGTAAATGTGCTTCTGAACAGTACTTGGATTTAGGTTGTTGTTACTTTTTTTTAAAAGGCATGAACTCCATCCTGATTTACGCTGGACATGAAGTATTTGCAGATTACTTCCCCTTCAGATGGAAAATGACAGACACCCAGTCTCACGCTGAGCACCTGACTCAGAATCTTGTGGCTACCTCTGTCTGGGTTCTCATCTCCTACCTGCTCTACAGGAAGAAAATCTTCTGGAAGATTTAATCATGGATACTGAAAAGACTTTTGGGCTTTGTCAGCCCAGCCATTCTGGGAACATTGACTGGGAAGCAGTGATCTGGCTTGATATAAAAACTCACTGTCTTTATCTTAATTTGATAGAAAAAGACACCATATCATGTGGAACAATGAAATGTGAGGCCATTGTTTAAAATGTACAGCTGAAATTTTGTATTTTTGTAGATCTTTCAAACTGAAATTTTTACATCACAAGGAAGTGTTCTGTAGCACATGGCACATAGTTATATTTGCCTTTTTTGTGCATTTGTGTATGATATTCCGTTCTGAAGGTTTTGCTGCCCAAAGGAGAACAGTGGCTGAACAACCCAGATCTCGGCCTTGTTGTGCTCTTGAGCATCACTGGGATTGGGAGGACTTTGGAGAAGGAGATTGGGAGCCAAGAATCGTGTCCCCATGTATGTGTGTTCTAGAAATGAAACATGTAAGATCTGGTGTACTTTTTATTTGAAAGTTCTACCCATATCCCAAAGCTGGGGAATCCTAGAACGGAGTAAGGACTAAGATGAAACCATAGAACCTAACAGTTTACGGGACTTCAGCTTCAATTTTATAAATTAACTGCTGCTGAAACTATTTCTAAAAATCGAAGGTTTTATTTTTTATACTGTGCCAGGTTTTCTATTTATTAAACTGCACTAATAGTACACGCAGTTCTAGTGTAAAGGTGTAAAGCATACAATGAGCTATGATAGAAAATAAAATATCCTCTTGCTTATACTAATCTTTTAAAAAACTGTTACTAAGTTAATGGTCATCTTTATTTCAATGTTTCATGTAAGAGTGATAGTTTTAAAATGTGTTACTTGCTGAAGTTTACCATACAAGATTTTAATGCAATACAGCTTTCATTTGGCATTGAATATGTGAAAGTCAATTGTATGAGGACAAACATGGTTAATGTGTAAACTCAATAATACACTGTGGATTGGAAAAGTAATTTGAATATGTGCAATTTCAAGACACTTGAACTCTAAAGACAGCTGAAATTTAATTCTGTGCATATCCTCTAATGGCAACATTAATTAACAAATAATAATAATAATTCAAAATGAGATAATGTACGATAACATTTTAAACTGAAAACGCATATTGTTCTTAGTCCATTCATTATATTTTCTCGCATTCATTAATTTGGAAATGTATTTTTGCTTATTTCTTAAAACTATGGCACAGAAAGCACCAAAAAAAATTCTGTCTCTGAAAAGAGAAGATGTGAACTGATATTAAAGAGGAGATAAAAGATCAATTTCTTATATAAAAACATGAACAATAAAATACGCTTGTCAATGGAAAAACTTTGTAAAGGAGTATTGTTTCTTTATTTGGCACTCAATGTTTAGCAGGGCACATATATATAAGTATTGGGCAAGTGTCTATTTTGCTATAAAACATGAATTTTCTACAATTAAGTTCTTTAATGTAAAATGCTGATGATGAGAGCCGGGCCTGTCACCCTTTAACTTTTCCATGGTCTCGTCTGCAGAAGAGATGCCTTTCTTTTAACAAAAGGTTGTTGGAAAACGATGTAAAAAGATTTTCACTCATTTTCAAAATGATGATTATTTGCGAAAACAGCAAGCATGTTTCACATTTGCTGCTGCAAACTAGCAATGACAGATAAGCATATAAAACACTTGAAACCCCTGGTAAACTAGGAGATATACTGTATATTGCCCCTTCAGAATTCTAATGAAAACCTGTTTCACCTGGGGATCACTATAATGAGGACTTCTGGTCATATTATCCTTGCATTTCTTTTTACAGTCCATATCCTGTAAATCAGATTAAATCAATCTGTTGATGTTTTGAGGTTTTGAAATGTTTCTAAATGGGGAAGTCTCTTATTAAACTGGTACTGTATAATGAATAAGTGTCTTATTTAACTGGTGAGCTGGTATGATTACTGTATGAACCAACCCTCTTGGAGATGGGTATATCAGCTGAAATCTGCTTCCAGCCCGACTAGCTGAAAGGCTGCCCAAATTGATATAATAGGAAAAAGCATCTGACAGATTTATAATTATTCTCCCCGATTTTAGATTAAAATTGAAATGGAGTTGCACAGTGTTACAAATGCACTTTTGGTGGTTTTGTTTTAGTTTAAAGTGTGTTTGTAGACGTGACCCCATTCCCCTACTGGTCCTGGTCAGTGGCAGTTCCAGTGTCTCTACCAGTCGTGGTGCAAAACACCTTTTGCTGACGGGTCAAAGTTCAAGTAAAAAGTCTGTTGTGCAAACTGGTTGCGTGGAGAATGAGTAATCCCGAACCTCCACTGCCCGCACACCTTTGTTTACAGGTTGGATTGATCATCCCTGACTCCTGTCCTCTGCTTTCACCTTATCATGCTTTTCCATTGAGCCCCACTTTGTGTGTTGTCTCTGTGTTTTAATCTGTCAAATACACCGATAATCATATTTTTTAAAAAATTGAAGTTAAAATGACAAAATAAAAACGTACTTCTCAACAAATATTCCAGCAAAATTCAAGACCTGTTTTGCACCATGCATTCCTGAAAAAAAAAGTTCTTCTATGAACTGTACCTAGTTGATATTGACAGTTTACAAACCCATTGTCCCTAATTAAATAATTATACCGCCCAGTGAGAATGCAAGGATAGTACACGAGAATAATTAGACGTAAATAAGTGTAACCGATTGCGCTAAAGCGTGAGAAATAGATTTCCTTAGGCATGGAAAATAAAAATGTTACTACGTCTTTAAATTTTTTCCAGGTAGTTAAAGCAGGACCTCTAATACGCAGGCTCAGCGAAAAGGAAGCTGTGTTTAAGGTTTGGATGATGTGGATACTGAAGAGGTGAGAGGGTTTGAATTCTGCTGTAGATAGGGCGTATTTGGAAACAATGGAGATGTGATCGCGGCGGGGGGGGGAAGACTCGTTCAACAGTTAAACCAATCCACCGAGGCGTGAGGATGGCCGACTGCGGCTCTAGCACGGCGGCCCCGGCTCTCATGCGTGGGTGCGAAGAGAGGGACGGCTCGCAGGCGGCGGGGTTTCCGTCGGCGCTGTTCGGCCGGGCCGCCCTCACAGTGGGAGCCAGCCCCGGGGGAGCGGTGCGCGTCTCGGAGAGCAGCGACAGCGGGCTGCCGGAGGTGGAAGGGGAGTGCTGCGGGGAAGAAGAGCTCCTGTTGCCGGCACCCGCCAGCTCCTCGTCCCCGAGGACGAGGAGGAACAGGCTCAGCTCCTCCTCCGATAGGGAAAACTTTCCGACTTCAGGTGCGGACGAAACGACACATTCCAAAACGTGAAACAGCAAGTTGTTACCATATATTAAGTCTTGTATTATTATCCTGTAAACCCTGTTAAAAATCGGTTTTTGTAAAATCAGTTGCCTTGTCACCGGTCTTTTGACTGCACACCTGGTAGGAAGTAGCTAATTTACAATACAGGTCCTGAAGCGACCTGGATGTTTGGTAGTTTTGTCTTACAGGGTTATAAATTTAATTGCTGTTTGAGTTATTCAACCACCGGTAAGCGAGCAGTGACAGAGGAAATGAGGTTTGTTTTTCATATTGTCAATGCACGTAAATGCTTGATGCGTTTTAGGGTTATAATTCCTGCTCAGTTGCTCTGCCGTTGAAAGGATGTTTGTCCAGTGCAGACAATGTATGTGGTTTTCATGCCAGAGTATCTCAAAAGCAGACTACTTCTAGGAGGGGAGCACTGAACATGTATAATCATGGCCTCCACAGGTAGTCCAAAGTCCACTTTTGTGCTGACGATGTGGTCATAATTGCCCTTACTAAGCATGCCAGTGTCTGCCTCATAGTTTTCTAGCTGAACGCTGCAAGATGTATATTGAGAGTTTTTACACTAGTTGTTAATTATATTGAGTACAGGTCATTGCATATTTTATCAGCGACATATACCACCTTGCATAATCCCCTTTCTTTTCCTTCTCCAGTTATGTTATTGCTTAGATGTGCAAAATGGAGTTAATTTTTCCCTGTGAGCTAACATGTGGCCGAAAGCCCACTTCTAAATTACAATAGAGTGTGCTGTATGCAGCTGTGAAAATTACAGTATAATGTTTCTATCATATTTTAAGCAATTAGACTCATTATCTAGTCTTGGTTCGGTTATATTTTTGTTCCTATTTCACCAAGGGTGTGATTAAATCTACAGACCCTTTTTTTTAACAAAACGTATCTTCACTTTTTAGTGCTTTAGCTGCTTACAGTTCCTCTCCAATTTCCACTTTCATAGGCCCCTAAATGTTTGAATTTTCACAGCTAATGGCAGTGTAGCTGAAAACACACATGACCAGCTTTATTTTGCATCTCTTGAGCATTATCTAGATTCTCCACTGCAGACTGAAACTGTGAGATGATGCTTATCATCTGGTTTCTGCAACTGCATGCAGCTGGAAAAGTGCTGTGTTGCCATCTTAAGGATAATCTTTATTTTGTGGCTAAATATTTTATACTTGCTGCTACTGAAGTTTGTGCATGACATGTTTTTGATGTCATGGTCCAGGCCATGGCCTTTAAGGGCTTTATCCTTTAAGTGTTTTGAAAGGGAGAAAGAGCAACTAATAATAATACATTTTATTTAATATATCTCCTTTAAAACTAGCTTCTCAAAGCACTTAGCGCTCATTAAAAGCACTTAACTAATCTGCTTTTTGAGACTTTTTAAATTCACGGTCATGCAGTTATTTCCATTTCTTGCTGTTCTCATAATTCTTTTATTAATTCAGTACCTTGGGCTTCTTCATACTTATGAAACCTGACACCTTACAAATCAATCAGTAATCTCCCATGAATCTTTATTGCTAATTTGAAAGTATCTTTCAGGCTGATGAAGCTTAATGAAACAGCCCTTAGCTCCATCAACCTGCCTGCATTGCATTTTAAATTGTACTAGAACTTATTTTTTTTTAAATGCTTTCATATTTCACCTGGAGACGTGAACATTTACTTCAGTTTTCTTAGTCTTTTATGCAATAACTGTGGCTTTATGGGACTTAGGAGTATTTGTCAGTTTCAATCAGCTCTTTGTCTGGATTAGCATTGAATGGATTTACAAGTAATAAGACCCAGACAGCACTTTCAGTGTCTGTGTGTGCATCCGATATCCTCCGTCAAAACAGGTGCGGGGAAGGCAGAGGGAAGAAGCACTTGGGTAAAGTTTGAAGACCGCATTTAAAAAAAGCACATTTTAAAGTGCCTGAATATAAAAATGCATGTGTTGCACCAAAACAAAAATGTGGAAACTCCCCAAATGGTTGTGTTGTAATCTAACTATATTACAAAACATGTACAGAGCTGGTGCATTTAAACACTTGCACACCGATACAAAAGTGTTGTCACTTTTAATTTTTATAGCTTTGAACTCAATTTGTTTTGCATGAAGTGAAATTGCTGGCAGGACTTTTTAAATCCTGAAGACGTTAAAAGAGCTCCTACTTGGAGTAAACGCTTAAGGTTCAGTCATGTTTCTCCAATGGACGCCAGAAGGGTCTCATGAGCTGAGACTGACTGAAGGTCATAAAGCAAACACACCAAAAGGATGCTCTGATTTGTCCGATTGATTTAAAATTGGGCCGGCGTGGTGGAGCAGTGGTTAACGTCACCCTGCGTTCAATTCCAGACCTGGGGCGCTATCTGCATGGAGTTTATATGTTTGCCTGAGTTTCCTCTAGGTGCTCAGACTTCCTCTCACAATCCAAAAACATACTGGTAGGTTAATTAACTTCTGTGAATACTGGCCCAAGTATGACTGTTGTGCATTGTTTGTGTTTGTCTCTGAGTGATTGGCGTACCGCCTAGGGTGTATCCTGCCTAGTGCACATTGATTGATGGGATACGTTTCGGCTCCCCTGTGACCCTATATTGGGGGAAAAAACAGTTAGAAAAGGGGTGAATGGATGGATTTCAAATTCAGGGTGATGGCTTTTTTTTGCACCCATAGTAACACGATGAAACTTTGCCTTCCTACTACGAGCTCAAGTGTGTGACCAAACAGGAAGATAATTTATCCAAATTTTGAAGTTCAAGTTTGAACATTTGGTGAGAACAGCTCTTGGTTTGTAGTGTACAGTTATGCCTGCAGCATCAGCCTCAAGAATTGTTTGCTTTTGGAATGTGGAAAAAATCGTTATGAGATGGTACAGAAAGTATATTTCTGTACCTGGGTATTGTATTTTTCACGCTATGTAATGGTACTACCGTGAAATTAAAAGGAGAACTTTTGCAGGGCTTTGTCTGTGGTTGTAACTCCTTGGTATGGATGTTATATGTGTCTGTTGGGGTTTCACAAAACTGTAATGAACATCGGCATTTTAATGATTCATTTTCTCTCTGATCTTCTTGATTTCAGGAAGTGCTGGTGGCACTGGGGACTTGAACTCTTTTCCTGAAGACCCCGAGTTTGCAGAGATCATCCAGAGGGCTGAACATGCCATTGAGAATGGAGTCTTTCCAGAAAGGATTTCCCAGGGGTCCAGTGGTAGCTATTTTGTTAAGGACCCAAAAGGAGTGAGTATAGTGTGCTTAATGTTATCCAGTGCTCTTAAACGCAGGAGGGAATTTTTTGTTTTAAAAAATGTAGTTTGGTAATAATAGTTGTTGAACTTGTTATAGAATGGAATGTCTGGGGAAAAAATGCTTGATTTACATTTCGCCCTTTGCTAAACCTATCACAGCAAAGTGTTACCAGATAGCATAATATAGCAAATCCATCTCATCTTGTCGTGTGAATTTGTCTCGGTTTTAAGTGCTGAACTTGGTTATAAAAATCCAAATGACTTATTATAGGAGTATTTTGTATGCAGCACAGATGATAATGCTTCTTAAAAAAGCTAATGAAAAATGTGCTGTTGCGCTGTTGCCCAACAGGCCTTGTCCTTGCTTGCACCAATAATTCCCCCAGCAACACAGCTGTGTTTTACGCTGGATATATGTAGCATGCCACAAAATTCTAGTTTTGGAATTTTTTTGATGTACTCGCCTTGATTTGTCTAAGCAACAACCTAATTTGATTAGTTCAGCTGATCACATTCTTAGCAGAATTATTTTACTTATAGTAATCTTGTCCTTGCTGCATTTTGCATAATGGCATGAACTGTAATTACACCTTTCATCATTATTTAAGAATCTATTTACAGCACAAACTACCTGAATATGGGGTGGCTGACAATAGTTTACAAGCATATGTTAGATAAAAATGCAGAAGCATTGATTCTGCTATAATTATATTGCCGCCAACACTTTTCTGTTCAAGATTATTGTGACTCCATTTTTGTAGAAGATTTCTGAACCTCTTGCAAAGTTTAACAGGGGTTGACAGCAGCTGCTGTAGGGAGGAAAGGGAAAAAGAATGAATGTGATCTGCAAAATTAATACATTTCTTTATTTGCTTAATGTTCGGTATTGACAGCAGAGGACACAGCCTCTGGATTCAGTTCTGAGCAACACAGACAAAGCACTTGGTAATTTATCAAATATTTTCGTGTTATCTTTGTTTTGTGGGGTTGAATATTGGTTCAAAGCCTGAATACACATACCTCTTGCTTAAGCTATGTTTATATTTGTCCTATTCTCCAAATTGATATTTTCAGTTTCTCCATGTGATCACTCCAGCTGGGCCTGGAGTCAGTGGTGTGCCATATTGATAATGGATGTGTATTTAGTGCCTTAATCTTTAGCCTTTCACGTTTCGTGTGCGTGGTGCAGAGAACAGTGGACATTAATTAATCACCTCGCCATACGTTCCCCTTTCAGACTGTGTTCTTGTCAATCTAAACAACAGTGCCCTGTCCTGTACACCCACTCTCTCTCAGTGCTGTTTGCATTTCCACTGGATTTTAGACGGTCTGAGGCTCATCAAGCTGTGACTCTCACGAACACTATTTCTTCATTTAAACAGATGCAGCTTGTTCAACCTTGTTCCAAGTGGAAAACCGATTTGTTGAAAACAAAGCCTTTTAAACATCATATTATTAACACTCAGTAGGCACAAGGTGGAGTAGGCAAACAGCAACAGCAATGCTCTGTACATGTCAGACTAGCTTAACAAAGATTTGTGCCCCACCTAATGAATTTTTAAACCAATATTTGAGAATATTTATGGATGTTTCATGAAATCCTGCTAATCCAGTTTATGAGGTCAGATTGATAAATGGGTGCGTTATTGGTGATAACTAACTTCCCATGTCAACCTTTGAGTCATTTTCATCCTTTTTTCAGGGATTGTACGTTTCGTATTCAGTAACAAATCTGTCCCTACCTAATAAAAGTATAACATACATTAGTTATAATCCATTACTATGTGGCAGTTGGAGACAGAAATCCAGTGTGGGAATGGATAGTTTTTATTATTTTAGCAAGTCTTTTGTTTCAGTAATCTGGAGCTAGATTGAAAATGATTCACACATACAACAGCGTTACTGGGTTCTCATGTTTTTCACTAAAACCAATAGAAATTTCAGAATGTATTCTGTAGCAGATGCAACAGCGTCATATTGAAGAGACATATCAGTTAGGGAGATTAACATTTTGTCACCAACAGTGGAACCACTGTAAAAGTTACAGACTAGTAGCTTGTAAGTTCTGTTTTGGAAGATTCTGCCCCATTGCATTGTAGACCCTGGACAAGTATGAGCCTCTTTGCTGGTTTTTGAATGCTAGATACCATAAGATGCAATTTAAGTCTGGCAATCCAGGCATCCGCAGCATAACCATCATATTCGCATCTTGAGAGAAAAACTGTTATTGCACAAGCAGCACAAGGACATGTTTTGTCCTGCTAGATTGTTATCAAGGGAGGCAAATAAGGTCCCAGTACGTGAACAATGTAGCTCCATGCAGTTAGATTGTATCAATTACTGTAAGTGGAGTTCTGCAGTGATTAGATGCTCCTGCTCAGGCCATCGCACCTAGACCTCCCCATCGATTGGCCTCTTGTATGCAGTTAGTGTATTGATCTGCATGTCTGTGGCACTACCAGTAACATCCATCAGGGTGGTCTGCACAAAAACTTGAATCATCTCTGAAGAGGACATAGCGCACAGTACCAGTGCGGTAAATGTTTGTGTTGTTTGTTTTAAATTTCATCTGACCATTTATCTCCTCACCTGTATCTGTAATTGACTCTTTCGCTGGTGAGCTTTTAATACTGCTTGCTTAAGCAGCAGTCACAGTAGTTTGTTGTGGTGAATCATGAATGACGAATTTATCAAAATGACAGCGAAGACCACTTAATCAAAACCCGAAACATGTATTTTCTTGGTTCTCTAAGATGCATAGATGCATCAGTAGAGTATTTTCTTTTGATGCTCAGTGTGTCATTCGCATCGTCCTGCCCAATCTAACTTGCTCTGAAAAGTCATGGCATGGAAACTGATGTCAGGGTAAGGTGAAAAGATATCTTTAGTTCCCTGCTTTTCGATTCCTCCCATTTTTATGGAAAAAAAAACATGTACCAAACAGGTGTAAAGGATACATATATAAATTATTGTAATGCCAGTCAACAGTCTTTCACAGCTCATGGTTTAGTCAGGCCTAGATTGTAGATTTGGAGGTGCTATAGTACATGCACACTAAACAAACACTCTGAGTGTGATGGTATGAAGAGGGGAAACTTGCAGAAAAAGATGCCCTGTTATACTAATTAAGTCACAAGCTAAGAGATGCATGGCCTGTCACTCTTGGTTCTGTTAAAAGCTGGACAGAATTACTCACACTATAAATGCTTCTTCTGACTTTTCTTCATTAGGCAAACTGGTGTCAGGACTGGATTTGTAACTTTAAATTAAGCTCGAATGAATTTGCACTCCCTGATATTTAGATTTGAGGTCTGACCTATATCATCATAGGTGAACCATTCGTTTTAAATAACAAATAAATTTATTTTTTTTTCCTTTTCTTACAGAATATTATTGGAGTATTCAAACCAAAATCTGAAGAGCCGTACGGACATCTGAACCCCAAGTGGACCAAGTATTTCCACAAGGTGTGCTGTCCTTGCTGCTTTGGAAGAGGATGCCTCGTTCCCAATCAGGGCTACCTGTCGGAAGCTGCGGCCTCACTTGTAGACCAAAAATTAGGGCTCGACGTGGTGCCCAAAACCAAGGTGAGGAGGAAAGGATGCAGAAACAAATGGTTGTTTCTAATGCACTGTTATTTTCGTTCTTAAACGTTTCATGAACAAGAATGAATTTCATTAGAAATGTACTTCTCGGATCATTGCAAATAAATGAGACATGCTTAGATGTTGATTTGTGAGCAAAGCATGACATAAACATGTAAACCGGGAATCTGCAACCCAGGTCCCAGAGAGCTCCAGTCCAGTTAAGTGCATAGCTAACTGTTAGTTAGGATCACCTGTGAGTTAATGGTTAGTTATGCAATTAATCTGTTCAGTTAAGAAAATTGTGATCTTTCAATGCTGCATGCTACTAAGGTTTTGGTCCCAACTGATCTCTAAGTTGCTTATTTTAATTAATCACATGCATATTTGATCACAATGAGACTTACAACTTCGGCACTTTAATGGTGATCTATAAACCCCGTTGAACTCCGATTCTGTAGTTCCATGGTTGAAAGCCTGTTATTGACCTTTGTAAAGCCCCAATGTTAACAGGGAAGAGGAATTTAAGAGTCAGTTATGAACTGTCATTTCCATTCATTTTCACGCTATATAGTACTAGATTCGGGCTATTTAATAAGATTTTTTTTTATCTTTCAGGTGGTATACCTGGTTAGCGAGACTTTTCACTACAGTGCAATTGATCGAGCAAAATCAAGAGGGAAGAAGTATGCTTTAGAAAAAGTACCCAAAGTTGGCAGAAGGTTTCACAGAGTTGGCTTGCCTCCTAAGGTAAAGTAACTGGGGACAATCTGACATTTGCTTCACCTGTCCTTACAGTGTTATAAAGTATGTTGTTTTTAGATCTGTTTTCCTCCCTTTTCCATTATCCACTGAAATCCTGGTCTTGCATCTTCCCTTATTGTCACAATTGTCCATCTTGTAACACGTGACACTACTCCTGTTTTATTTCTTCCTGCATGGGGGTGTGATCTTCTAAAATGCACTACCAAACTGTTTCACTTTCATACAAACAGAATCTGCTATTGGCATATTGGACAAAATAAGGAGTCCTTTAAATCAGTTTATAAAATAGTTTTCAGTAGAATGTCAATACAGCACTATATTGCTTCAAATTGATTAATTTATGGGGGCTTATGTCTTTATTTCACTTGTACTAGAGCATATAAACCTCTAACTTTAGTTATCATGTTATAACACTAGAGACACATGTTGAGAGTAAAACATATCAGTTCAACCTTGTTCTGTGCTGTCAGCAGTTTACATATTACAAGTATTTTGTTGTGTAGTCATAGTTATATGATATCTGAGAAACTTTTAATTTTTTTAAGACTCTTTTCACTGTGCTTTTAGGATATGTATAAGAGTGCATTAGTGAATTCTAAGTGTTTGGGATTTTGTTTTATAGTAGTATTTTTCTTCTATAGGTTGGCTCTTTCCAGCTCTTTGTCGAAGGCTATCATGAAGCAGACTACTGGCTGAGAAAGTTCGAAACTGATCCCCTTCCGGAGAATATCAGAAAGCAACTTCAGAATCAGTTCGAGAGACTGGTGGTCCTGGATTATATCATTAGGAATACTGGTATTGAGTTAGTTTGTCCCCACATAATGTTCATGTAAGACTGGTTTTCTAGGCAGATTGTGAGAGTTATGACATAGATGCCCAACTCAGTTGTGCCTTAACCTTGAATTGAACCTCACTGGATAGTTGTGGGATGAGCTGGGATACCATGTGGTTTCTAAGACTCAAGAGGCCAATGAAGAAGCATCTGCTTTTCTAGGGTCAATGAATGGAATGTGACCAAATCTTACAAGGCAACATTGTGACAACCTAGTGTAAAGTATGCAATGCAAGTGCACAGCTTTTATTGCTTCCCTCATTAACCACACATGCAACTAACCAGTGACTAACAGTAGACTCCCTGTTGATGACTGATGTTCATTAGCATGATTACTATCTTACATTGTTATATCGCAACACCTGGTGCAAAACGATTGCCAGTTTCCTGATAGCTTTGTGAATTGCTTCAGTTGTGACAAACTTTCTATCGATGTTCAGAATATGTATTTCAGTATTGTTCTAAAATTTTTCAACTTAATGTGTTATCAGTTGACCTTTAAAGGTGCATTACTGCCTTTTCTTTCTAAGAACATTACTGTGACCAAAGATTGCAGCACAGGTGAAATACAATCACCTGCTTGGTTGGTTTTCCAGATGTATGGAGATTTTGAAATGGTAATGAAAAGGTTTATTTAAAATTCATCCTTTTTCACTGCCTCTCCACGCAGATCGCGGAAACGACAACTGGTTGATCAAGTATGAGAAACCGGGAAATACTGAAGTCTCTGAGAAGGTGAGGTTAAAGCAAACATTCATTTCTAAATTAATACATTTCTTTGGTGCCATAGTAAACTTACTTTAAAAACAAATGCTGTACAAAAATAAAATACTAGAAAGTTACATGTTGATACGATTTTAAACATTGTACCATTCAAACTGATCATGTTCTGAGCTTGAAGCTCCATTCCTCTGACCACTCAGAATTGGGCTTCCCTGCTTCTACAGGACCCTAACTCTGCAGGTCATTGGTCTCTTTCAGTCACTGCCTAATCAGACCTGGAAAAATGCTGTTCGGTTACATTATTGTAACTGAGGCTCGGAAAGGACAAAAACCAGGAGCCTGCTTTTACCACTAAGATATTCTATACAATACATTCATTTGATTGTAGATCCACTCTCTCATGATTATGAACAAAGAACAGATCATTTAGATTGCATTAAAAATTCTTCCAACATCGGTACATGGCTTATAAACCAGATCAACCGGTTCATCAAAAATGCTATTTATAAGCAGCTTCATTATTTTGTTTTCCTTGTGTATTATTCTGAGTGACACTTATTTCAATTTTGGGTAATGTGTTTTTGAAGCTCCATATATTCTGAAATATTTCAAATTTTATATTTCAAATACTTCCGTAGGACACTGAATGGGCAACGAAGAAAGATCCTGCTATTAAAATAGCGGCTATAGACAATGGTCTGGCCTTTCCCTTCAAGCATCCAGATGAATGGAGAGCCTGTGAGTAGAGAACATGTGGAAATAATTACAATTTAATAAAACTGTACTTGCACGCACTCACAGTCTTCTCTCCACAAATTGAAATCCTTAGGTTTTGCATTGATGTTACATCCAGGTTCACGTGGGTTTATGCTGGATATCGTGTCTTCCTCCCTTGTTCAAAAGTTGCGCTGTTTAGATTGATGGATGTCTATCAATGCCAATGTAGCAATTTTGAGCAAATGAAAAGGGGGTACAGTACATTACTTGTTCTTGTGTGTGTGCGCACTGGTGTCCTTTGTAGTCCCATGATGCGCCTTGTGCTTCTGGGACAAGCTCTGTGTTGTATAAACCCTTGCCAGGAATAAGACTTTGTGATAAAATGTGTAGATAAATTATCAAGATGGTTAATACCAAGTACGGTAGGATGAAACTGAGCCTTAATCATAAAATATGAGCCATCATGATCAGTCCTCCTTAGTGCTGCATTCTGGGAAAAAGAAAAACTAGGGTGAAAGTAGTGATTTTCATTTAAAGACGAGGGTAATTGAGAAGGAGAACTGAAGACCCATTTAAAAATTTACAGGTAGACAGAATTTATTTTCTTTTTCAGACTATGATATCTGTCAGCCCAGTTTAGAAGTATTATCCATGTATACATAAAAAAGAAGATGTTCTTTTAAATATGCCTCATTGTTCAATTACACTGGAGGACAAATATCTGTTGAAACATAATTATCCTTAAGCATTATTTTTATTATCGTTAACATATTAGGAGAGACAATACAGATACATTTATTCTTCACATTTTGTTCCTTCAGATCCGTTTCACTGGGCCTGGCTTCCACAGGCTAAAGTCCCGTTTTCTCAAGAGACACGCGATCTAGTGCTGTCCCGGATTTCTGACATGAATTTTGTTCAGGATCTCTGTGAAGACCTCTATGAGATGTTCAAGGTTGATGCAAAAAAATGCCGTCTTGTTTAAACTCCTGTTCAAATATGTATGTTGTGCTTATAGAGGGATTTTTATTTACTTTATGAAAATTGGAATATACAGTATGAGAACTATTTTAATATAACTCATTTAAAAATCTAGGAGTCCACACTCAATCGGAATTAAATATTGTATGAAAACATATTTTGGTCACCCATTTTTTCAATTATTCTTGAGTTTGAAAAGAAACCTTTTGCTTTTTGAGCATTATTGATTTAAACAAGGGGACTAAGTATGCTTTCATCCAGTCTTTTGAGTATTTGTTTTGATATTTTAGTGCAGGCCCAATGCCTTAAGTGATTTAACTGCTGTGAGGCTGATTCGTCTGATTTGTGGTGCATAGGATGGGATTGATTCTGAATAAAAAAATAAGATTTTCTTGTGTTCCTTAGACTCAATGCAGTGTTTACAAGTAAAGGCAACTGCTCATGTGTGAAGTGCCTTTGTATTGATTGTGTGTTTACAAAGTGTTTTACCTTTAGATGACAGTAGTCTTACCTACAGTACATCTTTAATCTGTAAACATTAAGATGAAACATTAGCGACTGTCATACTTCACAGTGTTGGAAAGTGGTCTTTTTTAATGACATCGCATTGAGTTTTCATTTTGGGAGAATGGAATTTGATGCATGATTATAAGAAAATTATTTTTTCTTCTAGACGGACAAAGGATTTGACAAAGCCACATTTGAAAAGCAGATGTCCGTAATGAGAGGACAAGTATGTGTTTCTTCAAAGACAGTCCATTACTTTATATTTAACTAAGTTTCAAGCTTTCTTTTATTTTTTGCATTAAAAATAAATATTTTTTTTCTCATGTTTTACTGTGACAGCGAGCTGTCTATTATCCTGTCCTGTTACATTTAATGCATTATTTCCATGTTCAGGGCTTGCTGAAAAAAGTATTTAGTGGTAATGGCTGATCGGGGAGTGGATGAAATGGGGAAGGACGCTATGCATTTATTTTCCTTGAAACAAGCATAGGGTTTGAAAACTCTTTTCCATGCAGATCCTGAACCTCACTCAAGCGCTGAAGGATGGGAAGAGCCCCATTCAGCTGGTGCAGATGCCCCGCGTGGTGGTGGAGAGAAGTCACAGTGGCAGCCAGGGACGTGTTGTTCAGCTGGGCAACGCCTTCACACAGACGTTCCACTGCAAGAGACCCTTCTTCTCCTCGTGGTAGATTCCGGGCACGTGAAAGCACTTGAGGACGCCTACATTTCCCTGCAGGGACACGGAGACGGTTCTCCTGAGATCACTGTATTTGAAGTCAAACGGACATGAAGCATCTTGGAAAATGCCAACAGCTTCCAACTGCCAAACAAAACACAAAAAACTTGAATACTTGCTAAAGTGTTTTTGAATGTAATTGTACGTTTACAGGATTTTCTCCAGTTATTTCAGTGTAAAGGAAACCTGCAACTGATATAGTATTTTTCTACAATTATTGTATTGCTAATGTATTTAAATACTTGATGGGTGTGAGAACTTTAAGGCGGAGAGCTTTCATGTCCCCTGCTGCTTACAGAGGACTGGTATGCATCCACTCAGCCAACTTTGGTTTATAATATGCATCTTGAGATTTGTTTTTGGAAATTCATGATTGTAAAGCTTTAGAAAAGTTGTTTGTTTAATACATGTACTTAAAAGAATTAAATACATTTTCAAATTGATACATTTGATTACATTGTTATCGTTATGACAATTTCATATTTTTTTTAAGATTGCAGAACTTAGAACAATTTATTTACACACATGGACCTGGGAAATGATTTACAGTTGCAATTCTTTGCACCTTTACAACGAATGCAACATTAACTATTGACAAATTAACAGAGCATAGTGACAGATACTACTACTATTGAGTAGATAAACTGTTAAACCAGCAACAAATGGGCAAGTATGTTAATGAAAAGAGCATTTACTTGCAGGACATGATAGTTGGTATATGATTGTCATATTTGATCTACAAATTCTTACAAAGAGCTTTTGTTTCAATTACAGTAACAGTCACTGATTGGGTGTTTTTATTGTGAAAGTTCTGAAGTCTTTACATTTCTAAATATAATTTGAATGCCTGTTTGATATATTAGAAGGGAAACTCATTAAGCAACTAAGACTGTGACACCAATGAATGACTACTCTCTTTGCAATTACAGGTAGATTTTGTCAAAGGGTGTGATGGTGAAATAATGTGATCAAACATCACTTGAGGTAGAAAGCATATATATACACACAAAAGACAATCGCAGTAGAATCTCGCAGTAGAAAAAAGCAAAGGCGGGCAGGTTACACCGTAGTCAACAGCAGGTTGTATTGTCTCTCCTAATATGTTACTCCTGTAAGGGAACCTTTGTTTCGGTGATGTTGGGAGCACTTCAATATTGATATTTTAAGGGCAAAATTGAGAACACTGTGGATTCAAACCCTAGATGGATACTGCTGTTGTATCATTGACACCAGCTGTGTAAATGGGTACAAATGTAAGTCACTTTGTATAGAAAATATCAAAGTGTGAGACATCACACTCCAGGAATTTCTTAGTGGAAGATAATTATTCTTTATACTTCAACCTCTAAGCGTTCGTATAAATGTCATTCTAGACAAGTTCTACATGTGTGATTCCAAATTATGACTAAAGGGCGTAATTATTTTAGAACTGTCAAATTCTGTCTCAAAATCAACTTTATCAATAAAATTCCACTAGTCTTCAGAATACTTTTCCTATTGATTTTAAATGCGTTTACCAAGTGTTATTACACTGGACCGTGTAAATACCATGATCTCCCATGATACGTTTCAACAAATATTTTTTTCAAAGTGTTTCCTCATGATTCAGTATGGTAAAATGAAAAAAGCAAAAGTTGAAACCATGGTAAAAGTTCTAAAACACGATATTATCCATAGCAAATTGTGGATAGAGAATACAATAACATTGCAGGATTGTATTCAATTCAATAGTGATAAATATATTTCTCTGTGTTTTTAAAAATAGTAATCTAGAGCCTTTATAAAGGTGTCTTAGAGGAACGCAGCACCCATTGAGATCGAAGAAGAAAGGTGATACAACAACTTATATTTTACTAGATGATCCAGAGGTTTTGTTGATGTCTTTTTGCAGTAGCGCCGCTTTTGGTTACGTCATAGATTCGCGACAACAAGTCACAAGATCAACCATAGACTTGTTTCAAATTACTAGATAAATTGTCCCTTTCTGTCTGTGAGAGTTCTTCATTATCTTTAGGTGGAAAAGAAGTGACGTTTGGTGCGCTGATATTTTTCAGGTTGAAAAGCACCGTTAATGTAAAGAATTAATAGTTGGCAAAGGTATCGTTTACGTAAGGGTTACTCGTTAGTGACGAGTTAAGATGCGTTTAAAAAATGCTGAAGGCGGCCTTACAACGAAATTAGAGAAAGTGGGATGTTCTACCGTATCAAAAACCTTATAAAAATCAAGCTGGGAACAAATTTGCCATAGCAGTCAATTGGGTTTCTACTACCCGGCACAGTCAACACTGCTCTTGTTGATGAGCTCAGAAGTCCGCGCCGTGAAAGGTTCATGGGAAGGTGGAAGTAATGTGGCTCCCACCGGTGACGGCATGGTGTTTCTGATTCCGCTTTCTTGCATTTTTGTGTTTTATGTGTTGGATGATAATGGACACAGCGGATATGTCAGGCAGCGAAAGCACTGGAATAGAAGTGATCCTTAAAGAAGGAGAGTTTGGGAATAACCCATTTTGTCCTCACGGTATGTGGTAGCTTTAGAGGCACGGTTCACTAAAAGAATTGGGCAAGTTATTGGGGTCTTGTCACTCGACTTAAAACTTTCATAACTGCGACAGTTCGCTCAGCGACAGCTTTGACCCTAATGAATAACTTAAGCCGTATCTTGATATTTTGTGGTGATCATGCGAGGTACATTATAATTCGCTGCGTCGGGTTTTGTCCAGTCAGTTTGATTTCTCGCAGAATGACAACTTCTCACAGGTCACTGAAATATGGCTTAATTTGCTCGTTAAAGTCAACTCGTGAGTCAGATTTTACATGATCTTAGTAACAACAGCAATGCTCACCTTAAAACCAGCGTTTCCGAAATAGGTATTTAATATCATGCCAAATATCTGTCTTACCACGATTAAGCTGAAGCAATGATTAAACATAATTATAAACGTTTTTATTGCCTTTCGTTTCCTGGTGTTGGATGTGTAGATATCAAATTTACACACGTTTGGTGATTTGTAGCTCATTCTTAAATTAATCCGAAAGGTATTTAAGTAAACTCCTACAAGTGTACTATAATATATTTAGGAAGATGTACTTGGCTTAATGTTTGCTTGTCTTTGTCAGGTCCTACTATGCTGTTTGTGAAGATGAGTAAAGGAGAGCAGCAAGGCAGGGCGTTTTATGCTTGCTCAGCCTGCAGAGACAGGAAAGACTGCAACTTCTTTCAGTGGGAGGATGAGAAGGTGAGAAAAAATGATTATTTTAAAACAAAGCAAATGAAGATAACCATGCACAATTATTTTTTTTGTCCTAATATGGTTGTGTGAACCATAAAGTGTAAATCCTGTGTTTTATTACTTTGGTGGGGTCGGAAATCTGATCTTTGATACTGACCACTGGAAAACAAAGGTGTCAGGTCAACTGCAATATGAAGCCAAGCGCCAATGAATTTGTCAGACTCCCTCCTTTTAGCTAAATTCCAGATTACTGCAATGTTACATATCAGTACAAGGTATGAACAGAAAATTAGTTTATTTAGATTTATATATCCAAAAAGATCTACATGTAAAAATAAACATAGTATGACTTAAAACAAAAAAATCAGTTTGCATATCTGTAGTATGTATAATATATTAATTTCATTGCCGTGCTCTACTAGGTGCGTCAGAATGTATGAGAGGTTTCAGGACTTCTGTTGTCCGCTGATGTCAAAATGTCAATGGAAAATTCTGTAAAGGTTGTATTTTACTGGTTATTGTGTTATGTCTTATTGTACTGTGAAATGGTTTTAGAGCTTCTGTTTGTGGATATGTCCTGTACAAGGTCTTGAGAAGCTAGGTTTTGGTGACATCTTGCTTTGCAGTGCACTTATTGCTTTTCAAACAGCTGCAGGCGTTAACCAAGGAGGACAGTTTCTCCTAATCATGATGACTGAATGACTGTTATTCTAAAGGTTTATTTTTTTCCCTAATCTCCAAAAAGGTTGTTTAATTCCACGGCCTCTGACTGATTCTGACTGTCACCTTTTAAGAAGCGGAGCAGATTCATAGAACAGTCTTTTCTGTGTTGGTGAAATGAAAATTTCCCTGATATGTAATTTCTCTATAATTGTTTGAAGTCTGGAAAATGTGAAGATTATCTGTGCTTGTAGATATCGAAAGACAGGCTTTTAGCCAGAGAAGAAGAAAATAAAGCAAAGCAACCTCCTTTCACTCACAGCGATTACTGCTCAAGGTAAGTTGCATGCTATATTTTATTCTATATTTATTAGAAAAAAGAATACTGTGTTTTTGCACATTTGGTCATTTCTAATTTTGTTCTTAGCGTAGTGTGAATGTTTCAGTTTCACGTACAAAAGCTTTCCTTTACAAAGTTTTAGGTTTACTTTCCTTTTTGTCAACATATTATAGTGAGACATGAATAATTAATTTTAAAGAAATATATTATCACACTGAAAGGGGGCAAAATGTTTTCTCAATTATTCTTCAGTGCTAGTACTGAAAATATATTTTTCCTTTCACTTTCCACTGTAAATTGTATTTTTCAATACAAAATACATTCTTTCAAGAATTAGAGAGAAGAACAGGAAGACACTTCTTTAGCCAAATAATTGAGGCAGTATGAAACGAGCTACACAGCTATGTTGTTGAAGCCACTACACTGTTACGTTTATCAAGAAACAACTGGATTTGATCCTTGTATCAATTAAATTTGGACAAAGTGGCTCCTCTTGTTTCTGAAGTTCTTTAATATTTAGATTAGCTTGTTCTTCTCATTAAAGGTATTTGCAGTTCATATCACTACCGCTGGAACAGAAGAGATTTTGTCAGGATTGTCAGTTGCTTTTGCTTCCTGAAGACTGGGCAAAACACACCACTCACAATATACTGCCTGACATTACCACCTCCCAGCTGAGAAGGCCCAGCCAGCTGCTTTGTCCATTGGAAAATAAGAAGACTAATGCACAGTACTTGTTTGCTGATAGGAGCTGTCATTTTTTGCTCAATCTGTTTGCAGCCTTAGGATTCAGAAAGGTGCTGTGTGTTGGGACACCAAGGTATGTACTCATTTAGCTTTATTTGTATTTTTTATAATAGCTTGCTTCTCATGATTCAGGTCTTACAAGGGCTCAGATCATTTGGAAAATGTAATGTTTTAACTTAAAGTAATTTCTTGTCTGTTTTGTTCATTGGTGCAGTAAGAAGTGTTGGAGTTATAGGGCCAGGGTCTCCTGAGTGGATGGAACTGGTAGTTCAAATCTA